AAAAAACCAGAAGGGTAGAGTGTCCTAGAAGACAAGTAAACAAAGTGTTTCACAGAGGCGAGGGCGGTTAACTGTTAGATGCTGCTGAGAAGTCAAAACGATAAGGACCAAAAAGTGACCATTAAATTTAGCAACATGTAAACCACCAGTGTCCTTGACAAGGGAAGTTTCAGGGAAATGTTGAGAGTGAATACCTTCTTGGAGTGATTTCAAAGTCAACTGGAAGCAAACTAAAGGCCTGGAGAATAGTCAACTCTTCTGAGAGTCCTGCTTGTGAATGGGCATCAAGTTAATTGGGACAGCAGTGTGAGGGGAGGTAGGCTCACATTCTTTGTCCATTTGCTCTGTCACTCTCCCGAACATTTCCTCACGTCAGCTCTCTATCGCCTCCTCCCTCGTTCTGATTCTGGCTGGCATATTCGCTTTCTTGTTTCACTGAAAGAAAATAGAAGCAATCAGAAAGTAATATCCCCCAGTTGCTACCAATACTTCTACTCACATCTTTATATATATTTGAAATGAAACGCGTTGGCTTGGTATGTGCTTTTCTGCAATGGTGTTCAGCTGGGTAGTAAAGGAATGAACCAGACATGCTGCATTAAGCTGGATTAGGGTTTTGTTAGGCAAGCATGATAATGGGTGCAAGAGACAAAGACAAATCATGATAAAATTAGGACTGTAATATGTGATACATTTTATTTTTTTATAACGCCTGAAAGCATAACCATCACCCTATTCTCTTAGCCAGGATCTTGCCAGTCTAGTAGAATGGCTCAGTCTCAACACAGATCCCAAGATGACAGCAGGATGACAGCAGTGGACACTAGCCTTAAAGTTTATGATATGCTCAAAATATGCAGCTTCTGTAACTATTCATTCTACATCTTGCCTCTATATTTATCCAAACCTTTCTTCTTCAGCTTATATCATCATTTGGTGTAATGTGATATCTATTAATACGTGAAGTATTTTGTTTTATTTAATAAAACAGAATTATTATCATTAATTATTAATGCTATTATTAATGTTTTATTTACTTATTTATTTTTAAGAGAGAAGTTTTTGCTTTAGGGCATGAGAGCTCACTAGAGAGACAGAAAGACGGAAAGTGAGAAATGATCCCTGCAGGGGGGATGGCGATGCCACAATCCCTTCTCCTCAATTCTCTTGGGATTTGGGGCACATGCGCGTGTGCACACATGCACCTGGTGTGAGTTTTAAACTGCTGGGTCTGGGATTTGAACCACTGTCGACTACATAAGAATCCAGTGATGTAACCATTATGCCATCTGCTGGTCCCCTTAATTGTTTTATTAATGAATAATTATTATTGTTAATTATTAATGAATTAGCCTAAATTATATAAGAAAAAGACTGTTCAATCTGTACCTTCCACAGAATACTGTCATAGTATTCAATTATCATTAGTCCAGAATGTAGGGCCCTCATTTTAGGCTAATCATATTTGGCAGTGTAAACAATACTTAATACCCCCAACACACAAAATATAACCATAGTTCATATTTATTTCTCCCTTTTAAAGCAACTTTTGAGCAAACAGTTACATTAGCCATTGGGGAGAGAATATAAGAAGAATGCTCCTACCTTTAAGAAACTCTTAATCAAATACGTAATCTATAGGCCAGTGCAGGCTGTATAAATGAGGCACCAAAGGAGGGAAGAAACAGCAGGGGGAAAGGAAGGAGCAGAACAAAGGACAAGATGATTTGACCTCCTTTCTCCTATCTAAATTGCAATGGAATGAAAACACAAAGATCAACATCAAAGATGTCAAGGTTGAAGGCCTCGACTTTGGAAATATTTAAATGAAATAATGAAATTCATTTTGTTCATAGGTAACAACAAGAATTCAACAGAAATAAAAAGTAAAGCATGTGTTAAGCACTCAGTATGTCAGTAGTGCACAGAAATGAACATTCTGTTGGGGAAATGCTGTTCAGAGCAACAGCAGCTCTCAATGGCCAAGACCAACGCTCTTAACAAGCATGCTGCCTCCAGAGGCACAAAGCCACAGTTGAGAGCCGAAGCCAAGAGCAGGACTCTGAGCAGACATAAATTCCCCTGGGCAGAGCAGTTTTCTATAATCTTTCTAAATAATCTTGAGACCAGCTTCTATGGACCCCTTAGGACTAAGACCCTAATAAAGTCCATGACCTAGGGAAGCTATTTATAAAACTTTTCTGAGAAGGTTACACAAATATATTGTCTCAAGCACTATGTAACTAAAAGTTATTACCTACTCCTTAGGGGATATTCGAATTTTAACAGATCTTAAAACTATCTTTATATAGGTTAGGGTTTTGCAAAGAAAATGTAAATCGTATTCTTTAAAAATATTACATATACTGAAATTTTTTGTGACAATTCTGTGTCATCATAATAACATCATCACCATTTGTGCTCCAGAGGCTGGGCTTAAGCACTTTCCACACATCTTCTCAGCTAATCCCCACAAAGACATTGTAAGAGGTATTTTTTTTAAAGAATTATTTTATTTAACTTTTTACTTTATTTATTTATTTAAATTTTACCAGAGAGGAGTGGGGGGGGGAGGGGGCAGTAAGAAAGCAAACTGCCAGGTCTGAGACTTGAACTGTGGTCGACCATGTGTGTGAGAGTCCAGCGACGCAACCATTACACCATCTGCTGGTCCCATAAGAGGTATTAGTATTCCTATTTTAGAAAATAATTGAGATTCATACAAACTAAATGATTTCTTTATCACCTCACCATTACTAACTGGCAAAGCCTGAATTCACAATAAAGCCCCCTGACTACAACACCATGCTAGGTGACCATCTATGGGATGTATGGATGGATGGATTTTAAAAACCATTGCATTCTCCTCTGAGCTAGGTCTTTTTGAATGAATCAGTGTGAATACCATCGCAGCCTCTACTAAACCAATCTGATGCCCAGTGGTTTGCCCTACAAATGCACCAAGAATTGCTGTTAAACATCCCATTGAAAGTCCTCAGCAGGTTGGGACCAGATGTTAGCATAATGGCTATGCCACTGGACTCCCGTGTAGTCAACCACAGTTCACGTCCTGGACCTGGTGGCTTAAACTCACGCTGGGCGCGTGTGCATGCATGCCCAAAATCCCAAGAGGAGAAAGGAGGAGAAGGGATTGCAGCGTGGCTATCCCCCCTGGGGGATGGTTTCTCGCTTTCTGCCTCTCTATCTCTCTCTGTCTTTCTGGCGAGCGTGCGCACCCTATAGCAAAAACCTCTTAAAAAAAAAAAAGTCCTCAGCAGGTCAAAGGAGATGAAAATTAGTATGATGTCTTTGTCCATAATTTCTTGCTGAGGATACCCGCATAATGAAAAAGAACAGGAAAATAGGTTTTAAGATCATATATGCCCTCCCCACTATTTATGGAGGCCAGGATAAACCTCTGACGGCATTGTGATTTAACATCTATGGTTCTCATTTATTCAAACTCACACTCGGGTCATTATTTCTGATATAGTAACCCTGCCAGTGATATAAGCTGCCAAGTGGTAGACTAAATTTCAGGTTCACCTTTGTGTCTCTGGTGAACCCATAAAAGCTGTATTTATGTATTTGATACCCTTGGATTTTAATGGAAAAAGAGTGAGCATATTAATAAAATGTTCTATTCGGTACATGCAAGTCCAATTTATGCCATGACAGAAGGGTTACTTTCTCAAAATAGGAGGGAAAAAAGAACAATCATTATCCAAAGCAGATTATGTGCAGACATGAGGAAATTAAAGCTCAAAGGTTAATTAAAATAAGTAACAGAAATCCATATTTTAAAACTATAGTTCAGAAAAACATCTCCTAAATAAGAGCTCTAAGAATATAGAATTTAAAAACAAAGAGAAAGGTTGGAATGTAACTCTCAACATAAAACAATTCTTTGAATCCTTTCGTTCTTAACCAGGGTAAAGACCTAACAAAGGCAGCAAGAAAACTATCTAGGTCTTCATTTTCTCCTCTTTTATCTTAAAGTTAATAAATTGAAATTTCCTAGGTATTCTTACAGTAGCTGGCTAAATTCCCTGGAGAAAACTAAGGAAGACTATTACAAGTGATTTATAAGCAAAACACATGCCAATTTATTTACATATATATTTTCTAAATAGTATTCCTGCTAAACAGATTCAATTGGCACAAGACAGATCTCCAAACTGGATACTAAAGAGAAGCTGAGGCCTGAGGCCCATGAATGTATCAATCTAACACTTTCTTCCCTGCCTCGAGTTGTACTGAGTTGTCAGGAAAGTCATGACACATTTTTGCATAGAAAAACAGAAAAATACATCATGACTTTCCTGGCAACCTACTAATAAATAGGTGTCAGTAATTTAGTTCACATATATCCTTTTATTGACCTGAGATCCAGGTTTCCCATTCATATCAAATTCAAAATTTGAGAAACAAAGAAGACGAGGATCTAGTGCTCTTGGACAATTACTCTCTCAGAACAAAAATGAAATGAAAAGTCCCACAGCTGTGGAAGCGAGCTCTTAGTGACGCATGCACAGCTTTCTAAGTCCCGTAAAAGTCTCAACATCTGACCCATTTCATTTTTACAAGGGAAGGAGCTAGTACACTAGAAAATATGCATAAAAATCCGCAGCATTCGGAGGCATTAAACAGCTTTATTTCCCATTTGTTTCCTATGTACCTTACAGAGGAAACATACATTCCTATGCCCTCTGTACTCTGGAGCACCTGCTGCTATAACTCTACTCTCCGTCAGCTCCCAACCCTCTCTTTTTATTCTTATTTATTTACACCAGGATTTTCAATGAGGTTTTGTTTTTTTTTATAGTTACAAAAAGGTGTCTTTGACTTTTACTTTCATAAATTCTCCATCATGATGTATGTAATATAAAATATTTTAACGAAGAACTTTACTTTATTTGGTCTATTAAATGTTTCTTCCTTTGCACCCAATCATCTCTATAGAAGGGAAGAATGTGAGCATCTTTCAAACAGCTGAAGTAATGCTGCCACCTCCTGTTCACTGAATAGAACACAAAATCGCCCTCAAAAAGAATGGAAAGTAGAATGGATAAAATTACAAAAAAGAGACTGTCGAATTTTATCAATATTTTCATAGATTAAAAACCAATTTTACTCAAAATGGCAATGCCAAAATGAGGGTATTTTAAATTAGACATGTCTTTAAATAGAAGTTATTCTGCAGAAGTTTTAGAGTCTTTATCAAAACACTGAATTGGTAGTTCTGATTTTTCTGAATATCGTGCTCATACTACCTAAATTGCAATCTACAATTATTTACAATATAAACATAAGTGTTTTAAATGCTATGGTAATGATCATATATATGGAGTTTTAGTATTAGCTAACATGTTCCCAGGAGATTGATTTCTAATTTCAAATTTAGGAATACAGTATTGAGTATTTATAAAGGTAAA